GTGAAGGAACGAAGATTCCATTTAAGTGACATGCCCAAGATCCTACAGAGAACTCAGCCAAGGCGCTAATGTATTTTGGCCCCGCCATGGTTCTGGATAACTCGGGCATTACAGTATCTGCATATCTCTGCTCACTCAGGCTTAAGCATCAAAACCTGCACACATCTAAGAAAGAAAAGGGTCAAAGGACAATGACATTCTTCACAGAGTCCTGCAGCTGCCCCCGCCTCCCTGGCATTCATTCCATGACCCCCTTACCCCCTCGACCGGGACATGTATTCTCTGACCGAACAAAAACACCCAACTCCTCAAACCCACTTGAGGGAAGCTCCATCATCTTCCCCCCATCCCTGAGGAAAATGAGCAGCATTCTGCCTCCACGGGCCACCTTCTCCAGCTGCATGGCCCATCTGGTCACCCTGAGACTTCCACCAAGAGGGGAACAAATACCAGTTACCTGTCCCTTGATCCCACTCGAATGTACCCCCAAAGGCCTTGTAGAACTGGTATGCCTGGATTTCAGAGACAAATACTAAAGGGAAAAGAGGTAGATGTGCCTGAGGATGCCCTCAGGCCCTTCCTCCGTGCCATCTGTCTTCTCTTGCACCTTCCCAGTCTCAGCATTACTTTCAACAGGTAAAGAGAACCCTGGGCTGGACCCTGGAGAAAGCGCATCTTGCTGTACGGTAGGTGACGGAAAGGTCGTGATTAATTCATTTTTCTGGCACTCAACTTTCCAGAGAGTGGGGCAAAGAACAGAAATGATATTTGTATTGGGATTTGTTTTCTCAAAAGCCAGTCTCCAGAGGCTGTCCTGGAGTGGATTCCACAATGACACTTGTGCACTCTTATACATCCTAATTTGTATCTGTGTTGACATCATGCAGAGACTACAAAGTCCTAAATTGTCAATGGAAGGACAACAATATATTCACCACAGTAAACTCACCAAGGCAAAGAGCAGTCAGGGCAAGGTAGCCATCCATTACATTTAGATACACACTTTTAACACCAACAGTTGAAACACATTTTTAAAACTAAGGTTTAAACTTCTATTGCTTAATGTAATTCACTTCTTAAGTATTCTAGTTAATCAAGTGCTAGGGAAAATCACGTATCCAAACTCTGTAATTTACTCTTTGAGCAAAATAGTGGATTTCCAATGGAAACAGAGATGATTTCAACTTTCCTATAATAATACATTCCTGAAAACCATGTTTGAAGGCCAAATGTCCAAAACTTGAACAGTGATTTTTTTTTTTTCAGTTTTCAATTTATTTTTTGAGGGAGAGAATGAGCGGGGAGGGGCAGAGGGGGGTGGAGACAGAGGATCCGAAGCAGGCTATGCACTGACAGCAGAGAGTCCTGTGTGGGGCTTGAACTCATTAACCTTGAGATCATGACCTGAGCTGAAGTTGGAGCTGAACCAACTGAGCCACCCAGGTGGCCCCTCCTTTTTTATTTTTTTTATTTTTTTAAAGACAGTGGACTTATATATTCTTAGAAGGGGATTATCTTACAAAGAGCTTGGATCTCATCATGGATCATGAAGGCACTGTCACCCTCAGGCCCAAGCCACTCAACGTGCTAATGGGTAAGGCACGTGCCAGGGAGGAGACCCCCAAAGGTAAGCTTTTTTAGCTCCATGGAAAATCTATCCATGGGTGTAGAGTTCACACAGTATAAAGAAAATGATACATGATATGAAGAAAATGGAGTTTTGTTTTCCAGAAAAACTTCCTAAATTGTTGAATCTAAAATTGTTTAGTAAGTTTTCCAGCAAAATTTACTAGAATTATTGGTAAGTATATTAATTAATTGGTTCAAATTTCCAGTAGGTGGTACAGAATCCTTGATCAATCATCTAAGCAAACGATGACTCAGGATCATTTCTCAGAATCAAAGAACAGCCATTTTAGAGGCTAATTCGAGACTGATCATCAATTCTACCAGCCTTAGGGGTGGAACTAAACCTCACCCTTTTGGTCTTTAGAAGGAAATTTCAACATGCTCCTGTTTTAATCATTAAAACCCCTCAACACAACCTCCATCCAAACTCAATTTCATTTGTATTTGAAACATTTCTCATTATCTTAATAAACAGAGACTTGTAGGGGAGGCTGGGTGACTCAGTTGGTTGAGCGACGACTTGGGCTCGGGTCATGGTCTCACAAGTTCATGAGTTTGAGCCTCACATGAGGCTCTGTGCTGACAGCCCAGAGCCTGGAGCCTGCTTTGGCTTCTGTGACTCCCCCTCTCTCTCGGCCCCTCGCCTGCTCATTCTCCGTCTCAAAAATAAAATAAAATAAAAATCATTAAAAAATTAAAAAAATAAATAGAGACTTGCAATAACATCTGTGATAGAAATCTGAGATATGGATGTTTTAGGAATCCACCAAATCTATGAGGATGGTATCTAGACAATAATTCTAATAACTAACTAGAAAATCTAGGGTGATCCCATTTTGAAAAGTAATATTTAATAGTTGGTGCTATACTAAAATACTGATACGTTTTAGAAATAAAACAACCAATAGATCATACTCCTCTCTCACTTGATAAGAAGTTAAGACAACTTGCTTCATCTTATGAGCCCGAGATCCTGAGCATCCTGAGAATGAGCCACTTATGAAAGTGAAACATCTGACTATGCTACCCTGAATTCTGCAGGCAGGAAGCCTTGCCAACCGTCATGCCAGAACTATGAGATAATGGGTATTTCAAAAGGTCTGTCCCATCTCAGAGCCCAGCCAGCCATTCTCTCACACCAGCACCTCCACATCCCCGAAAGAAAGTGAACTTTGGTGCCAGAGAAACATCTCAGCACCTAACCTGTAGTCTGCTAGGGGAGAGGCGGGGAGACCCAAGTGAGGTTACTTCATTTTTCTTGGCTCCTGGCTAATGTTACTGGGGTAGCCCAAAATAATTGCAGGACCTGCCTAACCCATGTTGTGGCCACTCAAAGGAAAAGGTGCCCTCTGAGCAAAGAGCCAGCGTCAAAACTGGGCAGGAGAAAGCTGGCAGTGGACAGCTGTTGAGAAGATGTGTTAGGGCAAGTTTTAATTCTTAAAAGGCTTTATGTTTAAACTGACAGAGTAAATGCCCTACTCTGAGATTTTATTGATTAGTGTTGGGGACGCTGCTAGGCGGGGAGAAAGAGAGAACGTTTAATGAAATTAGGACCATTTCCAGGAAGAAAAGTGTGATGCTTAAGTGAACTCTCTTGAATTAGAACAAAAGCAAGGAAACCAATGTTCTGGGATTACAATGGCCCTGGTGGCCTCCAGATGCCTGCAGCATGTTAAGAAGAAGGGCTGCTTCCCCTTTGAGCTTGTTAGAGATTCAGAGATGTACTATATAGGGGCGCCTGGGTGGCTCAGCCGGTTAAGCTTCTGACTTCGGCTCAGGTCATGGTCTCACGGTTTGTGGGTTCGAGCCCGACATCGGGCTCTGTGCTGACAGCCAGCTCAGAGCCTGGAGCCTGTTTCAGATTCTGTGTCTCCCTCTCTCTCACCCTTCCCTGCTCGCACTGTCTCTCTCTCTCAGAAAGAAATAAAACACATATAAAATTAAAAAAAAAGAGAGGGAGAGAGATGTACTATATAGAGATGTATGGGTGTGTGTCCCTGCGTGATCTCTTCTGATCTCTTTTCAAAGATAAATACATTTAGGACGGGAGGGGGAGGGGAAGGAAGCCTGCCCAAATTAATAGCTCTGAGCTTATAACTGCTACAGAGAAGGGTACAGATTTGTCAAAGTCTGACCACACAGCCTATCACAGCCAAACCAATACCACCCCACGCAACTGGCTTTACCGGGTCTGGGGACACAACCCACGGTCTCTCAAAATGAGTCACTGCCCTTCGCGACGCCCCCTTTTTGCGGATTAGGGAAGGGTCCCCGGGGCTGGCGAGCTCTGTAACCCTCTGCCAGTCCTGCTCACTGCCTCGCTCCCCACTGCGCCGCCCCTTAGCCGGCGGCGCTCCCCCCGGCCGCCCAGGCTGCTCCCGGGCCCGCCCCGCCTCCCTCCGCCGGGTCCCGGGCTCCCAGCTCTCACGGACCTCGGTTCAGTCCCTCGTCCTCCGCTACGCTTCTCCGGAATTTCTCAGGGCCGCCAGGATCTCCTCGCTCCCATCCCTGAGGTCACGCTGCCTCCACCCAGGTTACAAGCACAGTTCGCCCAGCGCGCACCACCGCGACCAGCCACTTCCACTCCCCGAAGTGTCTCCACGAAGGGCCCAAAGAGACGTACCCTCCGCCCTATCCAGGATAAAACACCGGGTCCTAACAGCTGGGGTCTCAGCCTCAGGCCAAACTTCCAGGCTCAGCGCGTACCCCGGGAGTCCCCGCGCAGAAAGGCTGCCCCCTCTCCCGCATGGTCCCCGGAGTGCAGCTCCCAGACCCAGTTCGCGAGGCTCCGGCTGGTCGGGGACCCGTCCCTCCCGGGCCTTAGCTCCCCAAACGCCCTAGCGCTGCCATCTAAGGACCCGCGTCTTCCTCGGGAGCTGAAACCGGTGGCTCCATCCTCTGCTGCTCCGGATCTAGAGGGGTGGCCACGGCCGTTAGATATTCCCCGCTTTTCCTGTACATCCCGTGTGTGTGTGTGTGTGTGTGTGTGTGTGTGTGTGTGTTGGAGGGCAGAGGAAAGGGTCCTAAGTTTATTTTTCTAAGGCATATATAACTAAGTATTGAATAAAGCAGCCCAAGGCTCGGCCCTCCCCCAAACCTAGGAATTCAAAGCCACATGGCCACAGCCCTTTCCAGCCAGGCCACCTCCGCGCACACGTTCCGCTAGGCAAGGCCAAAAAAGCCCTTTAAAGTCTGGGATCCTTCGGAAGACTCCCCAGATCTGCAGTCCCTCCCGGGCCACCCATTCCCCACGCCTGAAGCCCCAACCCTCGGAGGGCGCCCCGGGGACGACGCCTGAGGCCCCAACACTAAGAGGGCGCCCCGGGGCCGCGGGGTCGGGGGCTGCGGCGCCCCCAGCCTGGGCCACCCACCTCTGCCCGCGGGATCCTGGGGGGCGCAGTCCTCCAGCTCTGCTCGGGCGCGGGGCGTCTGAGAGGCTCCGGGGAAGGCGTGCGGCAGCCCCGGGCCCGGGGCGAGCGCGTCTGCCGGGCGCAGCGGCCGCTGGGCTCGCCGGAGGGCCGGGAGCGCCGCCCGCGCGGCCGGAGCCCGCCCCTTCCCCGCCCCTCTCCGCGCCCGGCGCCCGCGGGCCCTCCCCACCCAGCCACCCACGCGTCTCTGGCTTCGGTGGCATCCAAGCACAAACCGAGAAACCACGAAATGAATGAATGGGGAGATTGGAGGGATGCAAGGATGGAGAGAGAGGTGGATAGAGGCCAGTGAAGCCGAGTATGTCCGGACGGGAGAGGGCTCTCTGGAGATGTGGACCTGTTGTCAGTGCACCGGTGGGCGTGTCGGCGTGTGCACACGCGGCTGTGTGTAGGGGTACACCTACGTGTGTATGGGCAGGGTGGAAGCGTGCGGGTGTTTGTGCGCGCTCGCAACGCCGGGGGCTGCTGAGCTCATGCCCGAGGTGGGAGCAATCCTTCATTTCGACATAGCACGACCGTCCCGGGGTAAGTACAACGGCCGGCCGCGGCTAGGAAGTCCGTCTTTGTGTCTTGGGACGCTCCCCGTTGCGGCCTAGAGGCCAAGGGGTGGACAAGGATGCTTCCGGCTCACCGGCTCTCCAGAGCCATCAGGCTGCCCTCCCTGTTGTGGCAGCCGGTGGCCTGGTGTCAAAGCGCGTGTTAGTTAACAAAGCCAGCGGTGGGGAAGGAGGCAGCTGACACACAAGGTGGGGCTGCGCTAGGCTGGTGGCCAACCATCCCTCACTCCGGAGCGGTCTGAAATTTCAGTCTGCGATCCCCTCCCCCGCCATGAATATTTAAATAACGTTAATGACCCTTTAGGGACTGTCTAGAAATCTTGAGAGGACACACACAGAAAGACCCTACACAGAAAACAGCATTAAAAAAAAAAAAAAAAGCAAGCAGTTATCGTGCTTGGCATGCTCTCTGCAGAGGAAAATAATATAAAGCCAGGTTTCTTGAATTCAACTTTCTACTAAGAATGGTGGGGGGTTTCGTTTTCCTATTTATTCTCTCTCCAGCTTTGTAAGTCAGAGCCCCTTACTCTCCTTTTGAGTTTCCATTCTAGGTGGGCCTGCCTCTTTCTGAACCCCTGGCCAAGGTCCTGGGGTCCTCTTCTGGGACTCAATTCCGCCCACCAAACACAGCGGGAAAGACAGCTACAGGGGTCTGGTTCTTTCCTAATCCACAAAGGTCCTTGATCTCCAGTACAAAGAAATGATATCATCGGGAACTGCCCAGAAAGCCTGTCCACACTATGGACACGTTAACAACAGCACCCTCTGCAGAAAAGGCTCCTTTCCTGTCCCGAGCTTTATTCACACCTTTCCCCCGGAGGAAGGGGATGAAGTCTACAATGGAGAAGTCAGGTGATCTCCGCAGGGTTCCTGAATGTCAATAGGTTTCCTTTTCTTGCCCTTTTGGAATTGTTTCACCAGCCTCCCCGTGGGTCTCTACTCTTGAATTTCAATAGAATTTACTGACCTGTGGTCAGAGATTACAGAGCTTCAGCCTCAGTCGATGCCTGTTCTTTCGCTTTCTTCCTTCTTTTCTCCCTCCTTCCTTCTTCTTTCCTCCTCTGTCCCTCCCTCCCTGTTCCCTTACTACCTTCTTTCCTTCCCTGTAGCTCCTCCTCTCACTGACTTAAGGAGTTAAAAATCTGGGTGCCCTACATCATGATCTATTTTTAACATTTTACTAACATGTGAAAAACACTGAAATGAGCGTGTTTGGGCACAGTTATTTATTTACGTGGACCACAGACTCTTCAAGGAAAGATTGTAAAATTACTGCAGACGTGAGGTTTTTAGAAACAGTACTGTGGCAGGTGCATCATGACTCTTTCTTCCTATATTTCTACATTAGAATAAATGTAAAGTTTATAAATCAAATTTGTTTCATTCCTAGAGACTAAAGCAATTCACACCAGCTGAATTACACCTTCCCTAAAGCCACGCCAATGTTAATATTCATTTTAATTTAAGATTACTTTTCATATTGGTTAATTAATATTAATTTTTAATATTGATTTTAAAGCTCTGGTATATCCTACAGAAGACTGTTGCGAATATTAATTTAGAAAAAATGCATATTCAGTCGATATTAACTCACAAGAACATTTCCTTTTCTTCCATCTTATGTTAGAGAAGTAACCATGATTATATTAAACATTTTTAATATAAATGTTTGGTACATACCAGGTGCTCAGAAATATTTGTTTAATTTGTTCAATGAAATCAGTGTGAGGGTATGAACATCTATGTATGAAAGTAAAAACTGTGTTTAATTAGCATTTTCTCATTTATTTCCCCCTCAGTGAGTGGTTCTCAGATGAGGGTGATTTGACCTCCCAGGGGCCATGCTGCCAATGTCTGGAGGCATTCTTGATTGTTCTAATGGGGGGAGGGTGCTACTGACATGAAATGGACAAGGTCCGAGAGGTTGCTAACCAGCACCCCAGGAACAAAGCATCATTACGTTCCAAATGTCAATAGTACTGAGGTTGAGGCACCTGGCCCTGGACTCAAAGCCAACACCAAGAACCACAGACATCAGAGCCACCTCTTCGTCACTAAAAATGCAGATTTCTCAGCCCCACCTTTACCTGCAAATCCAGAATCTCTGGGTGCAGGACTAGGAAAAGTGTTTTAACTGCTTCCATGTGATCTTAAGAGCGTGAGAGTATGAGAAACCCTGGAGATGGGAATAGCTGGCTTTATCATCCAGCACATTCTTATGGGTACCTCACATCATTTGCCTCTTAACATGATAATGGTTATTAGAGCTGAGAATATTTCATGAAAGAAGCACATTTAGTCTCCTAGATGCACTATAGAAGAAGCCCACTTGACGCAAAGAAAGGGCTACTAATTTTGTGGGGGGAAAAAAACAGCTTAGACGTACAAATGATTAATACTCCCAAAGGCCCTACACCATCTAGGACACAAAACCTATAGAAATTTTGCTTAGGAGGAAAAGAACTCAGGACTCCTTTCACTATGGCCTAATGTACATTTCTGCTGATTTTGCATCTGCTATGCTGCTGGAGTGACATAAACTGTGCCCCTGAGCGACAGTGGCCTCCAGGGGACCCAAGAAATACAACGTACTTACTAAAGAAACACCTAAAATAAAGGTTTTTTTGGGAAAGAGTTCATCCTTGATACAGATTGACGAAGCTCTTCTTTCTCTCTTCCCAAACTAAGCAAAATGAACAAAATCCAGCAAGTAACAGTCTTTCAGTAGCCACGTGTCCCTAAATTTAGAGATTAGTTGAAACTGAAAAAAAAGACTCAGTGAGTGCTCAGAGAGATGATTTGCAAACCGAAAGGAGGGGTCAAAAAAGGCCCATCATAAAAGAGGATTTGCCACTTCCTCCTTTTAGCAAGGAGAAACATCAAAACACATCAGTTGGGTGTAATCTTCATATGTTAAATGTGTCCCACTGAAAATAAAGATTTGCTAGGAAGAAGGATGAGGAAGAGAAGGAAGGGGTGAGGAGAGGAAGAGGAGGAGGGTTAAGGAAACAAGACTAATGCCAAAAAGACTGGCCTCCATGAAGCCAATAGCCCTATAGCTGTGGGCCTTTCCCCACAAGCAACAGGTGAGGTCACTGGAAAGTTAGGAACAACCCCAGTCCCAAGGGCATCAAGGGACCAACCAGATGCACCACTGAATGTATGAGAAGAAACAAACTGGGGGAAATATTTGCAACATACATAGCGATGAATTACTATCTCTAGTATGTAAAGAGTTCTTACAAATCAATACAAAAATTGAAGAAAATCATCATACACCTAATAGGAAAAAAAGCAGTCGTTTATAGATAAATAACGCTCAGATTCTTCATAATTAAAGAAATGCAAGTGAAAATATTGGGACAATATATTTTGCCTATGCCATTGGCAAATACATAAAATACAAATTTTATTTATTGTTGGTGAGAGAATGATGAAAATTAAGTGATTGTACTCTGCTGATGGGAATATACATTGATATTAATACATTGGTAAATTCAGAAGACAATTTGGTGGTATCTTTGGAGATTAAAAAAAATGTTTATACACTGTTCAAGTGCAATTCACTTTGGGAATTCAGAAGCTTATAAAATCTATGGAGTCAGATGAAAGATTGGGGATGGGGTGAGGAGAAGCCAGTGAATGAGAAATACCAGATCACTGAAAAGGCCAAAAGAAAGAGAATGTTTAATATACACTTTGAAAGTTGTTTGCAGGGCTCTGTTGTGATGTAAGTACTTCTGGCAACCTGTACACCTCTTAAAACAGCATTTGTTTGGAGAGCCAAAGGCAAAGGGCTTGTACGAGGCTTGTGTGAGGTGGATATCAGGCAAGATGATGCAAGATGAAGAAGTCAGACTAAGAAATCAGAACAAGTGAGTAGAAGAACTAACCCCGCCCCACTTGGGTTAACCACTTGAGTTAAAAGCCCATAAAAATAGTGTGGGGTGGGCACTGGACATCTACTCTGTCAGTAGGGGTTCAAATAATTTTACTTTAGATATAAAAGGAAAAATTTATCCCTGCTGGCTGCCGGACTTGGCATAGCCAATTAACTCCTAGGATTCACGCGGATCATTTGCTGGCTTTCTAAATCAAATAGTGGTTTTACCTTATTTGTCTGGATGTTTTGTATGTCTATGGATTTCCCACTTAAGGCAGGTCTCCACCGATCCCTGATTCTTATTTAAAGGCAAAAAGGGAATCTCCAGATAACGTGGCTTTTTCAGAGAAGGGATGACCCATCACAGACTGTTTTAACCATCAACTTTTGGAGTGTACCACACAGAAGACTGACGCGGGTCAGTCAGTGGACCGTTTGTTTGGACTTGCAGTTGTGTTTTATCAAATTAAAAGCCCCCTTCTCAAAGCCAACTCTTCTGTAAGGTCAGACTTGGTTGCTAAGTGACAGTTAGGTCGAAAGACTGCAAATCAGTATTTTTTAAGCTAGTTCACATCAAGAGTAGCCCCCTAAAAGACCTGAGCCCCAG